GGCATCAAACCTCACTAATCATCACGCAGTCAAGAGGGAATCTAGCGCTGACACACACATTAATCATATCAGTCGCTCATCGGCTCTAAATACACGAACGCTCACTGTTACCGTGAAAGAGGATAGAGCCTCAACAAAGGTCATAAACACACACTTGAATGCTCACAAACCTCACAACTCTTGTCCCTGCAGACCTCCTGTGACTGTCAACCCACCCCAAACACACAAAAACAGCCTGTCAGAGAAGCTAGAAGCCACACAGGTGACAAATACCAGAATACCACACACAAACACTCACTTTAGATCATCTCACCAGCCAAACCCTGATGAGAAACGACCAACTCAAAGAAACCAAGGAGCAACTACACACTCAGAGTCCCCCCAGCCCCAAAATAAAACACACATCAGACCTTTGCAAACTACTTTGAAACAACAAATGTTCCCCCAAACTAGCATACCGCAGAACTATGCACTTTCGAAATGCTCACGGTTAAATCAGACAAGCACACTTTCGAAATCCCCTGCCTGTTTTCATTTACATTCAAACGTTAAACGCCAAACTATAGTGCAGAGTTGTGTGAATGAAGGTGTCATATCCTCCACTGCTTCAAACATTCACAGACAGGTTCAGTTCACTAATGGACTAGAGTCCAAGTTTGACACGCACACTAAACCGTCAGTGTGCTCACACACAAATTTCGGCATTAAACCTCAAAGCGGGACGCAAATCTGTGCTGACACAGAGTCAGAATCATCACCCTGTGATTCACGTTCGCATTCTGCACTGGTGACACACGCACATAAACTCTCAGGGCCTCACGGTGAACCACGTCACGCATCGATACACACAGGCACTCCTTCGCCCACCGACACGCACAAGGAAGTTTCCCACACATCCACACAGCGAACAAACACCAGTGGAACATCACTGCAGGGTATATCCGTGCATAAAGACGCACTGTCACATCCTTATCGTGAGTCAAAAAGCCAAAATGACACTTGTTTGTTTTCACATGCCCCAAATATGTCAACTCATCACAAAGCAACACTTACGACACAAACAATCAACCATCAGAACCTCTCAAATGCATTTACCGCCACGCAGACGGAGGTGGAGGTGCATTCGTACACCAAAGAACGTTCTCAAGCAAGCCCTGGGGTCAAAGCAGCCTCGCGCACTTTGTGTGTTCAATCGAAAACGCCATGTAGGCAGACAGAGCCTACGGTTTTCAGACGCTCTGTCCTGAATCAGCTTAATAATGACACTCTTGAGTCCTCATTACTAGCCATCGCTTCCGCTAGGGCTTTTCCTCAAGCTACAACACACAACAGGACTGAATT